TTATGTATGTATGTATAAAAGCTTATTTTATTGTATCGATATGTTGAAAAATCAAGGCTTCGTGCCATTACTGAGATAGTAAGTTTAATGTTGCTTATATGAAGTTCAAGTTTTTGTGGTTTTCGTTTAATTTTGGATATGACTTCTTTCTAGATGCAGTAGTTTGTTTTAGGTCATTTTAAATTTTATAAAAGTTCTGAGAAATAAAAAAGGATGCATTTTTTTAAATTCGAATTGTAGTTGAATTTAAAAAGGTATTTTAGAGATGATTTTTTTTTTTTAAATTGTAAGAGATTAACAACGTCTATATTTAGTCGAGAAACATCTATAGCTGGGGAGACCTCTGAGATTACTCCAAGTAATTGAACAGATGAGTTCTTTATTCAAAAATCTCTCAGGGCTGCAACATATATTTTTAGTATGGAATGATTTTATTATGTTTTATTGTATTATCTATAACACTCTAAGAACACGTTTTAATTTGTTGAGTAATATTTTTTATTGCCTCTAACAATCTTTCATATAATAAAACAATATTTTTAATTCATAAAGCATTTCGTTTTCTTATTTCTAGTCTATTTGCAGAGAATTTATTTACGATAAAACAATAATTATAAATACAATAATGTTCATTATATTGACAACTTGTGTTTCTGTTCCTAACATGTTGTTGAACGACTGACATAATTATTTTGGTAGATGATTGAATTACGTAATACGAGTTTTTGCCCATGACGTCATCTGCTTCAATTTAAATCTATGGCGGAATTAGAAATGTATAGCTAGGTCGACGAACTTTATTGTCCCATAGAGGTTCATAGTAGATTTTGGATTATATTAAGTTTTTCGATCGAATGGGACGAAAAGAATCCGTAGCAAAGTATAAGTAATGGTATAAAAAATGTCTGTCTCTCTGCTTCAATACATCTCACCATAATTTTTAAGTAAAATCAGTGCAGCGGTACTTAAGTTATACATAGTGTTACTAACTCGACTTTTTTTATGATACGAGTTTAAAAATGTATATATGCTTAAGTAATTATACGTAATCTATGATATTATTATGACGTTTTTGGATACTGTGAAGTAATGCTAAACGAAAATAATAGTACTTCTACCTTTTTGTAATGAGGGATAATAGCAAACAAACTTTAAAAGTATAAATTGTATTAGAAAAATAATTATGATTATATTTTATTATTTCTTTCTGTCAAGTGCCCAATCTAAGCGAGTAATACTATTTGATATCAATTTAAGGTGTGAGGAAATTATGTAGAAGCTGATTTAAATGAGAAAAGTAATTTACATGTAAATTTGATTAAATATCTTTTATGATCAATAAATAGAACATTTATTAATAAAATGTTCCTTTTATACCAGATATAGATTATTCATTAAAAATTATCAATTATTATTATATCAATATTTCGTACATTTTGATATATTTTTTAAAGTTTAAATAAGACGATAGATTATTATCTATCGATAGAGGAGAGACGATACATGATCTTGAATAATTAAAAAATACGATAGAAAGGTCAATCCGTTTCTTTTGAATACTTGGAAGTGAAATGACTTTTGAAAGTAGTTTTTTTTTACGGACAAAATATTAGAGTGTGAATGTTGTAAGTTTCGATAATTTTAACTATATTACTATACAAATATCCCTCTTGTATTGTCTGAGTGACATTATTAAATTGTACTAAAATATACGGTTAAATATTAATATTACAAAAATTTTTGTATACATAAGATATGAAGTTAATGTCTGTTTGTTGATTTAAATTTTAAAAGTGTCTATGTCACATTTTCATTCGCTTAAATTGATTTTAATGTATGTTATAATATATATATTTTTTAATATTTTAAATAATTAGTATTTTTTATTTTGTTTTCATGTTTTTGAAATAAAAATTCATGTAACAGCATTTATAAAGATTTTTCCATAGAAAATATCTTAAAATTCTTACTGGAAACTAAAATTCTAAAGTCTAAACTCCATGTTTCTTTGTACAATATTTCGCAGTAGCTCCCGAATAATTTTTGATAAAGTATTTCTTTTTAAAGAGGGATCCGGGGAATATTTTAGCAATTTCAGTAATAATAAATGATTTAATAAAATCTAAAGGATCTCATAAAACTCGTGAACCATTAAAAAAATGAACCATTTCTTAAGAAAGGTAGAACGACCGTACAAAAAAGACATATGTCTGCTTTGTAAGATAAGATATAGCTGGACGTAAAATGTATATATATTTTTATTTTACTCCCATATTACTTTGTACAATTTTCTTAGCCATTTAATAAATTAATGAATTTTATAGAAATATACAATAAAGTAAAAATAAAACAGAAATTTTAACATGATAGGTAGTTATAATAATCAGAAAATCTTTTTAATTTATGTATCATATCTAATATTTATGTCACAGTATACTGTTTCTTTTAGTTATATTTTTTTATCAATCCTTGAGCATATATCTAAATATTATGAAATCTTTCTATAGATCGACTATTTTTATTAGTAATGGTAGATACAAATTGAATAGTTATGTGCCATCAACAATAAAGTAGTTAAGAATTATCTATTCCAATAGTACAGTTCATTCGGGTTACATTAGAGCATAATCTAATGAGATCTAACACAATCGCGAGTTTCCATTTAAATGAAACTAACATTTTTCGGAATACTAAGCGTACTTAATTACTTTAAAAACTATATTCTACGTTTTGGTTACTTTGTAGCAATCCTGATCACGGTAGTTTTTAAAATAATAAAATATACCTAGTAATCTGAAATATATTAGTTTCATTTACATGATAACTAATTATATTGAGGTTGTCCTCATGGACTTAAAATTTATCATAGTATATTTTATTTTTCAAACACTATTTAGCACCTAGATAGGTCTTAATTAAAAATAACCAACAAATAATGGTGAGTATTTTTAAGTATATTTCTATAGTTTTCAGAATGACTATTCATTAAATCCAATTACTAAAAGCTTTTAGAGTCAGTATTAATAAACTCCTATTTACTATTGAACTGGAGTATTTAGATTATTATTTTGTTAAGCTTATGCGTTATTCTGGGTGTTAATTGAAAACATAACATTAGTTTATTAATTAATCTCTTTTGCATTTTCTACCCATTAGGTATTATCTTATATTACGAAACAATAAATTTATATATTATTTTGGCGTATTATTCCAGTAAATTAAAGAATGTATTCAAGGAAGTAATAAAAAAGTATCTTTTAAGGTTTAAAAAAATAAATTAACGCTAGGAAAATTCTTTGAAACATATTGAAACATATATACATATATGGAGAAATGCTAATCGCAGTATATCATAGCTTTTTTTTGAGAAAGCCTACTACAACGAAAGTCATAATAAATCATTAACCGATTTTTTTTACCTCAAGGTTTAATTCCACGTCTAGCAAGGGTTTTAGATTAGATTTTTAAAAAAGTTCTCATTAGCAATGTTTTATACTGGCCAGTTTTAAACATTTTCATTGTTACCCACGTACATATGTTGTCTCTAGACTGCCACTGTTGAATAAAAACTTAGGTAATTTTGTTACACTTGCTTTTGAGGTTCTAATAAGGATAAAAAATAAAATAAAAGTTTGTTTAACATAATTTTATTTAACATAAATTAAATTCTTCACATGTGAACTACTTTAAATATACAAATTACAAAATTATATACAGAGAAGCGCGTGCCCCAAGTTTGATTAATGTTTAATATGACACAAATATTTACATTAAATTTTTGAATGGTTTTATCTCGAACGAGTATCTTACTTATATACAAGTTCTGAATATGCGACCTCTATAATAAGTACATATATTTACAAAGCGCTAAAAACAAGTTCTTACACATTCATTTACTAATTTCGTTCATGAAAATGATATAGTAGTCAAAGTTATATATATTCCTTGTAATGCTTTTGTCGATTTGAAAAACTCAAAAGCAAACTTTATATCAAAAGTGAATTTTTTTATATTTCAAATTAGTCAGGCAACATTTTAAACAAAAATTATATTATAGAATATTTTAAGCCATTTTATACATAGGTTTTGTTTCTTGTTATCTATTTCTAACACATTTATAGTCTACCTAGCTAATTATTAAACAAATATTATTTATTTAGTAAAGAATTAAACATGAAAATAAATAATTTGAAAAATTTATATCCTATATTACACATTTACCGAAATTAACGGCCTTGTCATTTCACAGACTGCCATGCAATGAGTCTTGTATAATGAATAACATTATGAACAATATTATTTTCTGTAATTATTTTGGTCCGTAAAGGGCTTATTAAAAATAAATTTTTGTTTAGGCATAAAGATCTTGCGGTGTGAGCGGAGGTCGGGTATGGGACCGTGGACGTCAAATCCACGTTCGTTGGTCTTGCACCTCGGTTCCACGATCGTGCTGATTGCCAGCACCACGTCGCTGTCAGGTGCTGCTCATCAATGGATTGTTGTAGGTGCTGTGCATCGATATACGTATTGTACCTAAAAGGACATTTTTTTCTCATTTTATATGTACAAAAAATCTTGTAGTATCATGAAAGTGTAGCGGATTTTGTAATTTATATTTCATGAAAATCAATATTATCTATTCATTAATAAACTTAATAAAATCTTCATCGTCTTGTAATACATTTACGATTTTGTGAATCCCGTATTTTACTAACAAAAGAATTCTTGTATATTTTCGTATTTATTTCGTAAATGTATTATATTTTTGGTCGTGACAGCAATAAAAATATATTAAGGAAGCAAAGTTGTAAATATTTAAGAAGCGAACTCAATACGAAGCAAAGCTAAATTGTCGGTAACGAATGTGAGCGACTAAAACTCAAAGGCCTAACTACAGAACTTAAATTTTGTAATTAATTCGCGAGGTAAGAGCTTCATGAACATTTAGTAGTTTTGGAACGACATTTTTACCAACTTGCAGATTGAACTCCAAGCATCTCCTACGTGTGTATTTTATTTGTGTGAAGCAAATGAGGAGTGCCAGGAGGATTTTTGGTGAATTTTGTCATTTTGATTGTTGTCTTGAAATAACCTACGCAAAAGAATTATAATCTCTTACGACCACTATTTAATTTCAAAACAGTTTTTAAGGTTTAATAGACGAAATATTTGTCAGTAAAATAATGCTTATTTAAGAGCTTAAGAGAATACAGAATTATTGTATAAATGAATTTAAAGCAATGAGTTTATTTACGACATTAGATCAGTACTGTATTTTGTACCAATTTATTGGTAACTATATCTTCGCAAACCATAAGATTGTTAGCAATGAAGCATCAATCAAATCATCAACGAAACATCACTATCACAAACCGAGCTTAATTATTATATTTTACAGATACACTAATACAATCTAACAAAGTAATCTTATTAGCTATACTGACTAGTTCCATTCTTTCTGGAGGGTGAAAGTGATCTCATGGAACGATCTAGACGATGACGACGTTCACCCAGGCCGCAGCACCAGAATAACTGCTTAAATCCACGACGAAATCTGTACAAGAAGTAAGATGATGACATGAACCCAATAAAAAAATTCCGTTGAATTTTCTGAAGGATTTTTAGCTCATCGGTTACTATCGCATAAGAAGGCTTACAGTATACAATGCTAATAAAACTAGTAGCTTAAACTATTATTAAATATTAATTTAAAAGATTTTTTTTATACTTTGGCATTTAACCCAATGTGAATCTAGATACTTGTAATTTTTTATATTTTGTTTGAACTTATTCCATTCAATATTAAAATATGTATCAACTTTCTCCATACTGGAAACGTTTAACAGCTTTTCGCAACGAACTTAGGAAGTTATACAATGAAATTATTCACTTATTGACATATAATATTAAATACTCACTTGGAGTTCATCCAGCAGTAGATAATAGGATTATACATGGAGTTGCTCATGGCGAGCCAGTATATAGCGAGATAGATCTCCTGTATATTCGGATAGTTAACCACTTCTGGGTAGTATGAAGTCACAACGAAGTACACATGGAATGGAAGCCAGCATACAGCAAATATTACTACAACGACCATCATCATTTTAACAACCTAAAAAGAATTTTTACTTTGATCAATGATAAATATTTAATAAATATGACAAGTAAATACAAAGAAACATGACAGGCTGACAACAATAAGACGTAATAATAACAAGGGATGAATAACAGAATTATATATAACCTGGGATAAAAATTGTTTTGGAACAAACCTTCAAATGATATTCATAATAAAATCTACAGCGGCTTAATGTTCCATAAGAAGAAAAAGACTTCCAAGCAATTTAGTCCGAACAATTCCACTGGGTGATTTAGCATTCCTTAAGATGTCATTTAGAAAAAATATATACTTTACCCTTCGTTTGCTTTTCACATTATCCAATTGTCGTTGAGTGCACTCTCCTATTGATTTGGACCCCCACAACTCTATTCCCACTTTTGCATAAGTATACGTCATAGATGTGATGGGCAAGAAGTACGTTAGTACCATAAATGCTACATTGTAACTGGAAATAGAGAAATAATTCTTAGCTTCTTATTACAATATCCTTGTTAAAATGTTTTTCGAACTTTTACTTACATGTATTCGAGTTCAGATTCTGTAGTACTACCGTCTGGCCATTCAGGGAAACAAACCCGCCTATAAAGTTTTAATTTAGTTATAGTTTATAATTTCTGCACAGTGATAGATGAACACCTTATATAAATTTATTAAAAATATAAAGGAACAAAGTTTTAACATTTCATTTATTTACTTACTCTGAAAATTCTGTTTATTCTTAAATTAAGTTAGTTTCGTGGAATTATTATTGAATTATTATGATTCTGGAAACTTTGAATCAATATCGATGTATAGTTTGTTTATATCAGTGTAGATTCGGATTCGTATTGCTTATTAAAAAAACTCTAAAATACTGTTATTTATGTTTTCCTTGCCATCACTTGGGTTTACAAAGACACCATTCATTATTTTAATGTTAGGTGGTAATATTACGTTGATAAAATTAAAGTAACTATCACAATATTTATCACAACGATCTCACCTCGTAGTGCCGTCAGGTAAAAGATCTACGTCGGTGGTGAAGTAAATTATGTTAGGGCTGCTGATGACAGAGCTACCAGCCCAAATAGCGGCGGCAATACCCAGCGTCGCACGTTTGCCGAGTCGGGGACGTAGAGGACTCATTATAGCCACGTATCTGTACACCAAAATATTATTATATCAACTACACGATACACAAGTTACAATAACTTAAACAAACGTGTGAAGGATTTATTATATCATGCTTTAAACAAGTTTAAGGCTACATAGCTGTTATAAACACAGAACGACAAAAGTATTCATTGTGAAAATGGATTCTGTCAGCTATAAGCTCGGTTATGAAATAGGCACGTACATGTATTTATACTGAGCTTATTCTCTGCATGTTTATGACGTGCATTAACAGTCATCTACATATGTTAAAAATATTTTAGACATGAAAGTTAAGGATTATAAACGATGTGACATGTTACAGTATTTATAAAGTAAACCCAATCAGTTAAAATGTAAAGGTTTCATAACGATCTTTCAAATGAAATATAAGTAATTTTCAAATAATAAAGATTAAATATATCCCCATGATACCATTATAATTAGTTATATTTAAATTAAACTATATTTTTTCGGATTATACTACGGGACTTTATTTTTGTAAATAACGATATACTATTGACGTTTCGGTTACTTTTCAGCAACCGTGATCACGGCCAGACGAGATGCGAATGTCTATCAGTTGGTCTATAATATGTTATATGTTAAGATATTAGAAAAGCCATATGAAATCATAATCCTACTTTTGTTATATTTGAACTTCAGTCTGTTATATAGAAAATCTTGATATAACATTTTCATAAAAGAATAAAAAGAAGAAAAAAACATTTAAAAGTCTTTCTTTATTCATATGGGAATAACAAAATTCACTAACATGTTGTTATTATGCAATATTGCTGTATTTTTTCGTTTCGATTTGTTATTTTATTTACTGCGAATTGGATCTGCATTTAAGTAATGAGTTTTGAAGAAATTAAAGTCAGTTACATTAATAGTCTTATAACTCACAAACATTATGTAGAATAAAATAAAATCCTTCTATTCTAATGTATTAATGTTATCTTTCATTTTAACAGGTTAGAAATAAATATTCTTTAAGTAGTAAAATTTTATGTGTTGATAAATCGTGGCGTTTCCCAAATAAGTAATTGAATTTCAAAATTAAAATGCCCAGCACATTAAATAATCTGATAAATTATACTAATCATACTGGTGAAATTGCGAAATCCGTGTTGATTGTCCAAATTGTAGCATTAAACCTGAAGTCACTCTGTAGCATTTTGTTAATATGATATAATTGACGAAATTTATTATATGGGAATATTAAATAATATTTATATAATTTACTTAATATATCATTAAATAAAACTTCATACACTAAAAGAAGTAAATGTCATGTTTTTATTGTAAAAACAAAGAGTTTAAGTTCTATTATAAATTCAATTAAAATAATTAACATATGTTTAAACTTACCTATCCACACTTATAGCCATGAGGGTGAAAACAGACGCACTGATGCTTAAGACAGCAATGAACTGGCAGAACTTGCAGTAAAAGTGTCCGAATGGCCAATCCGAGTACAACATGTACGTGAAGTTGAAAGTTACGTTCAATGTTGATACCATCGCGTCTGCCACTGACAGGTTGACTGTAAAAGAATACCTTTATTTAGACCTTCTTAAAACATAATGATATCTAAGGTTTTCGGGAGTACTCATTTAAATGAAAGTTAATTTTTGGATTTACTACGCGATTTTTTATTTTTGACTACAAACTACATACTCCCGACGTTCTGTTATTTTAGATGAGAGTGTCTGTCAGTTGGTCTTGTTATTTTATCACCTACCGCCATCGATTTCTTAATTTTCTGGCGTACCGCTCTGTATGCCTGCAGAATGCGCTCACGGTGTCTCGAGGTCCTGCGGTGTGGTAACCGAGTAACCGAAACGTCGGGAGTATGTATTTTATTATCAAAAATAAAAAATCGCGTAGTAAATCCGATTATATTAGTTTCATTTTCTTAAAACACCCGTATATATTGTTTTTATGTCACCATCCTGTATAATGTCACAATTAAGTTATTCTCATCAAGATAGATGATTATTGTTCATCCTCTCAGTTTAATATCATTAAAGAACTTCTTTTTACTTACCTAGAAAATAGTTAGTGACGCTTCTCATTCTTTTGTTAGCTAAAACTATCCAAATAACGACGAGATTCCCAACAGTGGCTACCACTACCATCCCTGCAAAGAGGAATGTCCACAAGACTTGCCGCCACCATGGTAAAATGAAGGACTGGTATACCTTATTAAGAAAATAAGATCTATTTTATAAATATAATTTAACAATAAAAAGTAATTTAAATAAAAATGTAACTAAAATTATTACGGCATAAATAACAATTCAGTGAAATGAAATTTCTTTTCCAGCACATTAAAAGAACATAAGCTCATTAAATGGCAGAAAGTTAAGCCGGAGTGCTCTGAGTCGACTCTAGGAAGATTCTGTTGCTATTTTTGTAACATCTTGAATTTTTTAATTATAAAATATTGATATTTAATATACCTGGGTTGAGTTGTGCTGAGTGATGTTACTATCTGTTCTGTCAGTCTCATCGTAAACAGTGAAATAGTTTTGCGAGTCACTGTAAGTTGAACTCCAATTAGAGGCCAATGTCGGTTCTGTGTCCTCTAGCATTGTTGCATCTCAGTGCCTAATGATTAACAAAAAGTAAAAACTCATTATTATCTATGTATAATGAAAAATATACATAGTACATACATTCTTTTGATTCAAATATTTATACTTTTTTTACATTAACTATGTCGTGTTATAATTTTAAAAGCAATTATCTAATGATATTTCTTCAAATTCGTGATCTTTATAAATCTGGTTGTACTAAATATTTTATATCAGATATCTAAAATAAATCTCGTAACCATCGTTTGATTCATTTCTCAAATAACTTATCCTTTTGTAGTATCTACGAAGATTTATTAATGGAAAACCTTGAACGGACAATCACATACATATATAAAGGATAAGGGTAGATACTGTTTGTATTCTTATATAAGTCTCAATCTAAATGTTATTTTATCTTTTTTTATCGTAAAATACATAACTTCATATTATCTGGATATCCTATAATCTTTATATTCTGAATTTAGTACTTTAAATTGTAAACAAAAATGCTACTAAACACATGATCTTTTTCTATTTTGTTTTTAGTTAAAGTTAATAAGACGACAGCGTAGTTTGATAAATTCTGTACAAAAGTCATATTTTATGAATCAAACTTCAATGATGCTTATTTGACTAAAGTTATACAAATTTTTACCTTGTTTGAACATTGTTGCTTTATTAAAAGTATAACATAAATAAAATAAAGTTAGTCTTTGTTATAAGTATTATTACTTAAGTTCCATATTGACGTAATACTTGAAAATTGAAATACCGCCTTCCATATTTCGGTATATATTCCCTACATTCAGTTATAATATACTTACATTGTTTAACGTATAGTTTGAACTACGATTTATCACATTTCGTTGAATGAGTCAATGGCGTTTAATTTATATTCATAGACGAACAATAACGTCATTTCGGCTCAAAAGCTTAATCGGGCATTGATATGAAATTCATCTTTCTATTGATTGTTGATATGAATTTTAACAATTAATATTATTCATTGGAATAAATCAATATTCTATAGGTTAATTTATATTAAAGTGTTATTCAAGCAATAACAATCTTTTTAAAACATTTCAGAGACAACATAATTTATTTGCAACTAAATATAATATGTACAATCTATTTAAGTGGATTTTATCCTATATAAAACTAAAAATACATTAAAATGTATATATTTTTTACTTCAGTTTTTTAAAAATACATTTTAATCTTTCTAATCTTTCGTAATTGTTAATCTAATTGTCGTCTTGTCATTATTAGAAATTTATGTTCTTGATAAATACGTGAATATGCATATCCTTTTGGGCCTCACGTCAAAATATTTTTTTCTTAGAGGGTTTTTAAAGACGTTGTTGCTCTTATATACAGAACAAACTATTCCAATGTCTTTGTTTAATATGAACTATGAGCTCAGTGAAGTATGTATCTGGCACATACAAAATCTTTGTTAATTTTTAAAACATCGCTGACGAGGTCGCGCGTATTAACTGGTTATAAAAACGCCGCATATTTATCTTCTCATAAGAAGAATCTAAATTTTAAACCGTTTATATTGAAAAACGTAATAATAAACAAAAAATATCATCAAAGCATATTTGAAACTTGTATTGGTTTTATAATTAAAAGTTGCCATTGACATAAACTAAGGGGATTGAGATCATACGTATAATGTAAATAATATTACGTTCATCTTTGAAGTAGCAATAAAAAAGCTTTACACGAACGTTTTATTTGAAATAACGTTATCTGTTGATTTCCCAATGGTAATACTTCAGATGCTCTCAGGGTTTCAGTTTTGAAGACCACTAATTGGTTTATATACTTCGATATAATCATAATTTTCGTAAGACCTTTTTTAATCTCTATTTTTCTTTATAAAATATTTTTTTTCTTAACAAGTCACATCCTTAACGCCATTGTGAAAAAAAAGCTTATGTAAATTTCAAATAATTCTTTTACTCAAAAAAAAAAAATGTTATTTTATACCTAATATGAATAAGAAATGCTCTGAAGCGATTTCTGAATAAACAATCTATGTATTTACCTCGTGCAGCATGTTTATACTACTGTATGACTAAATAATGAACAGTATTTTATATAATTTTGCCATAGAATGTAAACCTTGTAAACATATGAATGAGAAAAGTGAATAAATATATTTGTATTTTGTGATTTATCTTAATAATATATGATCCTGAGATCTGTATCCTTGGTAGGAGTTGATATCTTAATCTACAATACAGAATGTTTCATTGTTTATCTTTCATCAATTATGAAATGTATTGTCGACGATTTATCAATGACAGACTTCGAATCTCACGGTTTTGAACTTTATTCAAACATATATATGTATATATATAAACAATACATTATACAGTAGTTTGTAATGAGGATAATTCCTTTGTCATTAACATAAAAGCATAATTATTTATATTACTTGGCTTCATCAATAATTCAATTTCATTTAGCCGATGACGTAAAATAGAATTCATTTAATATTATAAAATGAACGCTGAAACTCAGAACCATAAAAATAGTCTCTTATGCGCATTTCATAAATTTATTTTTAGAATTAAATGTGACGCAGATGAGAGAAATTACTAGGTATTGGAGCTATGTCATTGAAAACTCCACTGCAGTGTGATTGTAGGAAATTATATTATACATACGTCATATAAAATGATACGATTTACTACGTCGTATACTTTATTACGCCGCTTGAAATTACCACAATGGAAGCTGTTACGAATACAAAAAAGACAAAGTATTAATAGCTTTTTTCTTAATTACATTGTAATTGGGACAAAAACACAACAGTTTTAATGAATAGATGTTTTTTCTCACGGCGGCTTTTTAAGGCTTTTTGTCGTTAGGAATCGAAACATTTAATTGGATTCGAGCATCAATATAGACTCGACATCAACATACCAATGCGACCTGAAATTATTATGCAAATTCTGAGTTCTTTAATGGCGTGCCGAATTCCAATTAATCACCAGATGGCGTGTGAAAGAACCGTATGCTGTGGTGTTGAGAACAAAAGTTTCGAGATTTATAATATGATAAAATAAAATGGTCTTAGATAATATTTAGAAAAACAAGTATTAAGGTTTAAAACTAATATGTATAATAATAAAATTGTAACATAACAATTTAATAACTATAAAATTATTCTAAATGATTCAGACTAAGCAGCTCCCCTTACATCTGATAACTGAATCGTGACTGTGAAGCTTTTATTACTGCTTCAATTTTTATAAATGAGAATATCAGAAATCTAAACACCTCCGTTCTTCTATCCAATTTCTATCAATCATTTTCTTATCTTCTAACAATTTAGAGCGATATAAACGCAGGCGTTATTACGAGTGATAGCCAATAATTATGATTAAAATATGTAAATGTATAATTTTCTTACTAAAATTTAAGCTAAGATACAAGAGTTCTGAAATCATTATGTTAAAGAATAAAAAAATGTTTAATCAATTACATTTTCAGATACTACACTCAGTATACAAAAAAAGTGTTCTGGTATAGTAAACATGGCTATCAAGATATTTGGTTTTATATTAGTTGAAAACAGCTATGAAAATTATAAACATTGATTCAATAGTTCATAGTAAAATATACTTATTTCAAATATGAAATTTTACCCTCTTACGAGGATTTTCGCTTTAAATTGGGCGCTAACTGTGTAGATCTACGTTTGCTTGCAAAACTCTATAAGCCTTACTGGTTCGGCCAATTGTGTAGTATGTATGTCAAAACCTCCTTTTATTACCGAAGTGACATCCAACCATTAGAATCTAAAACATTGCTTTCCATCAATATAGATAAATGAATCTAGCTCATAAATTTCCAATATTGTGTGCCTTTACACTTGTTGTTATAGTGCTGAAATAAGGTATAACCTAGTTCTCGTCTAAAATTTAGGTAACAGTAAACTTCTAACACGCAAGTCGCGTAAAATATAATGGGTAGTAACGCTAAGAGACAGTATTATTTTTTAATACAAATAAATAGCTACCATCCAATTTCACTAATGAAGCATCGTCTATTACATTAATCGTATACCAATTTATCACATCTGTCAATCGTTGTGAGTCATGTTAGAACGATATTATTATATTTTTTCATTTCCAAGGCTAAAATAGCAGTTACATAAACAGTTAAATTAAGAACATCCTCTATTTATATTCATTCCAAAAAGGAAAAAACATTTCAATTGAAATGATAAAACGTATGAAATGTATTTTAATTTTTTGCACATAAACATAAAACAATTTTCAGTTAAAAGAAAAGTGATTTATAAAGTGAAATATGAAATGATTGAAGTAAAGAACTATTGGACTTGTATTAGAAAATGTAAATATATTTTTAAATTATACATATAACATTGATACGATTTATTTATAACTACAATTAATATGGCTCCCATAATCACTTATTATGTATGTATCGTCTCTATGAAAAGTTTAGTTAAGTGACGATGTAGTGAAAACTATAAATTGTAAACCTATTGTTAGGGCTTTAATGTTGACCGAGTTTCATATAGCAATGTCACTAACAGTCTTAAATTGCATAGATAATTACGGTCTCGATTTAGCCCTCCTGCTATTTTTCCAATAACAACAACGTAAAATGAGAAACATAAGCACAAAATGCTAGTGAATTAAGTATGAATAAGAGAAACATTCCTGGAATACTATTTTTATAATAATGATATAAATATTTAAGTCTGATTATGTTTTTTCTCATTTAATTTAGTATATTTGAAACTCCAATTAATATCTCAAAATGTTTACTTCTATGTAGAGATCTTATATGTCCAATGGATGATTGTAATTACGTTGAAACAAGAAAAATATCCACCTTAATGGCTGGCGGCCATTAAGCTGTGGTCGACACATTATATACTGGCCTCTAGAACATGTTCTTAAGATTTCACACTAATAAGTACGAATGTAATAGAAGTTATTTATTTTCATTGTTAATGGTTGATTAGT